ATTATTTCCCCTTGGGTTTATCTGTGCCTTGCTGCAGGATCCGGGCTGGGAGAGCTGCAGGCCAGCAGGGAGAGGAGCTGATTACAGCCACTTCCTATCCTTGCTTACTCTGCGCAGCTGGTTTCATTTCCTTAATCCCCAGCCCAGCATTTCCTTTGTTGTTTTGTTTGGAGGGGAGGGATCCTTAGCTGCAGGCTGGTGCTTGCTGCAGAGTGCTTTCGCGCTCCAGACCAATGGAGCTGCCGACTAGCTGCCCCTGCATGGACCAACTCTGCTTTTGGGTGCAGTGAGTGCTGCTCATGAGGGGACTGGGGCCTCACCTCGGTGGTGGCCTGGGACTGCCACAGAGCAGATCAGGGTACACATGGAGATTCCTGCACTGCTCAGGGAGGACCATGTCTGCATGTATTTGCAAACAGCTCTGCCAAAGCAACCTGTGTTCCAAATTGCCTTCTTCTCTTGCATCCCCTATGGCACTGGGATGCCTGGCCTGGGCCAGCTTTGGAGCAAGGAATGCCAACCCCATGGCTGGTGTGGAATCCTCGGGCTGGTGATGCCACGGTCCAGCCGTGTCACCTCCCTGTCATTTGTGTGCTGAGCTGGGCTGGTTGCTGGGCTGGTTGCTGGATTTGTGCATGACCTCAGCTTTCCTGCTCCATGTCCGGACAGTCCCCTAGGGAATCTTGTGAGTCATGAATGCTTATGGAGTGATTCCTCCAGTTTGTGCTTGAGATGGCTTCTCCTGTGCTGAGATGGGGATGGCTGCCTGCTCATGGGAGGTAAGGTGGTCCTAGGGGACACCCAGCCCCCCAGGCTGCGCTGGAGTAGGGGCTGGACAGGCTGCCTGCCACAGTCCCAGGGTGGAGAAGGGAGTTTGGAGAGGGGGCAGAAGGTTGGTGGCTGGAGAGCCTGGACTAGCCCATGGTGCCCTTCGGCAGCTCCTTGCCCTCCTTGGCCTGTTTTGAGACTGCATCTCCAGCAGTTGCAATCTGGATATTCTGGTTTTGCTGCTAATCCCTGAGTTGGGCATCTGCTTGCTGGCCAGAGTCTGGGTAAGCTGGCTGGCACCTCATGTCACTTCATGTGGTCCCTCCAAGGATGTCCTCACCTCCTTTGGCCCAGCCCCATGGGCAGGCAAAGTGCTGGGATAGGAAGCTCTGCCCCATGGAGAGGGATGGGCTGGGCCAGGGCTGTGTCTCAGGCTGCTGATGCTGCGAGCTGGCTCCAAGCACACTAGGGAAGGGTTTCCAGCAGAGCTCAGAGGACCAGACCTGCTGGCACAGCTTTTCCCTGCTGCCGCCAGCTTCTGAGCATGGTTGTGCCCTGGTGAGTCAGCTGGAGCCACAGCTCACATTGCTCACACTGCACCACCTGGTTCCCTTAGCTTTTCCCAGGCTGTGTTTCCCAAAATCATGCAGCCGGAGGGATGAGGAGCCCAGTGGCAGGACACTGGATGCTCAGCTCCAGGCTCTGCTGGGCTGAGGCCCATGGGGATGACATTCAGGCTCCAAGTGTGCCCGGCACACATGTGGCTGTCCGAGCACAAGGCTGGAAGCTCTGGCCTGTACTTGCTTCCTTGTTCCAGTGCTGAGCAGGAATGCTGAGCATGCAGCAGCGCCAGGGCAGCTGTGGAGCGAGGCAAGCCTGCAGCCAAGGGCTGGCATCCTGCCCTCCGGGGAGAGGCGAGAGGAAGACGTGGCTCCAGACCTAGCCAGCAGTGAGAAGAGCAAATTGGTCAGACACCCGCAGTGCGGGGCTGTGCTGATGGCTCAGGCCTTCCTCTGCATCATGGCAGGCAGCTGGCAGGGAGCAGGGAATGTGCTCTGAGTGCTGCTGGGTCACCAGACTCCAGCGAGGTGCTGGGTGATGCCAGACGGTGCTCAGACAGGGAGCCCTTGTGCACTGGAGCTGCAGCCTGCACCAGCACCCAGCTTCCCAGCATGGGCAGGGACTGCCGGGAAGCCTCTTCTGGAGGCTGTGTTCCAGGAGCGTCCGTACCCATGCTGAAAGGTTAACCCTTCCCAGGAGGAGGCTCTGGGGAGCAGGCAGGCTGGGGGTGCTGCAGGGTGTCAAGCCTGTCCTTGCTTTTGTTTGCAAAGCTGGCCTGTCCCCAGCAAGCTCCCACTGACCTGGAATAGCCCATGCAGTGTGCCAGCCCCAGCCTTGGCACTGGTGGTGTTTAGCTCAACGTTCTCAGTCTGGCAGGGCAGGCAGGCAGTGGCTGAGGGGAGGAGAGCTGCAGGCAGCCCCAGCCTCCCTGCGGTCCCCTCTCCTGAGAGCTGCACAGGGATAGAGTTGCTCCCCATCCCACTGGTGGCTGGGAATGCTGTTTTACCTTGAATAGTGGTGGGGTGGCTCAGACCAGCTCCAGGTATGCCAGACCTTTACCAAGAGGGTGTTCAAACCCTGGCACAGGCTTCCTGGAGAGGTGGTTGGTGGCCTAAGCCTGTCAGTATTGAAGAGGCATTGGACAAAGTCTTTAATAACATGCTTTAACTTTTGCCCAGCCCTGAAGTGGTCAGGCAGTTCAACAAGACTGTTGAAGTTCCCTTCCAACCAGAAATATGCTATGTTATGCTATGCTACGTCATGCCATGCCATGCCATGCCATGCCATGCTATCCTGTTGCATTCTACTGGAGTACTGTGTACAGTTCTGGTGTCCCCAGCCTAAGAAGGATATGGAGCTGCTGGAGCAAGTGCAGAAGAGGCCACGAGGATGATCAGGGGCTGGAGCAGCTCCCACATGGAGACAGGCTGAGAAAGTTGGGGCTGTTCAGCCTGAAGAAGAGAAGGCTGCATGGAGACCTCATAGCAGCTTTCCATTATCTGAAGGGAGCCTACAAGGATGCTGGAGAGGGACTCTTCATTAGGGACTGTAGCAATAGGACAAGGGGTGATGGGCTTAAACTGAAACGGGAAGTTCAGGTTAGACATTAGAAAGAAGTTCTTCCCTGTGTGAGTGCTGAGGCCCTGGCACAGGTAGCCCAGAGAAGCTGTGGCTGCCCCATCCCTGGCAGTGTTCAAGGCCAGGTTGGACAGGGCTTGGAGCAACCTGGTCTAGTGGAAGGTGTCCCTGCCCGTGGCAGGCAGGTTGGAACTGCATGAGCTTTAAGGTCCCTTCCAACCCAAACCATTCTATGATTCCATTCCATTCTAAATGCTCAGTATCTGAAAATCCACCTTGCTGTGAGGGAGCAGGTATGGTCAGTTTGGTGTCTTCAGTTGTGGTGGGTGAGCCCAGACAAATGTGGTGGGCACTGGGCAGCCACTCACCTGCAGGCTGGTGGCCCAGGGAGGATGAGATGCACACGTGCAGAGCAGGATGGGTGTGTGGGTCTGCTTTGCGGTCCCCATGGTCACCTTGGTGGTGTGGTGGCAGGTTGGCAGTGAGCCTGCAGAGATGTTGTGTTGGTGGGCCCAAGTGCTGACCCTTCGTATTGCTGCAAGGACTGTGTGAGGGTTCCCAGGACAGCTTCCTTTGAGTGCTGCATGGGACCAGCTTCCTCCCCGTTTTCTCAGTGGGAGCCCTGCAGGGATGTTGGCAGAGCACCTTCATGGGGCAAGGCCCAAGAGTTCAGCACAGCACTTCTGCTTGGACTTCGACCATACAAAACCTGTTCAGTGGTGTTAGTAGATGAGGTTTCCTCTGACAATGCAGCACGACCTGGCTGCCCTCGAAGAGCTTTTGTGGTGACACCATCCACAGGGTACGGATGGGATCCAGCCTACCTTGATCCACACAGAATGTTGGATCAAGCACGGCTCAGTGGTGCTGACCACACCAGGCATGTAGTGCGTCATCCTGATGGGACAGGGACCATGAGGCACTGGGACCAGCTGGCTTGATGGATCCCTCTCTGGCTGTCTGTGTTGGCCCTTTGGTCTGTCCTTCCTCGGTGGCCACAGGACCTGCTGTCCTCTCTCCCACCTTTGCATCACTTCTTCTTCCCTGTAACCAGGCCAGAAGCTGGGACGCCCTGGTTCGCGCCGGGTGTCCTTTGCAGCAGTGCTCTGCTCCTTGATGTAGCCCCAGGAGAGCAACAGTGGTGCAATGATTTCCTCATCACTGATACTGCCCTACTCTACTGAGCTCTGAGACCTGGTGATGGTCTAATTAGTGCTTTTGCACCACAGGGCTGGCTGGAGCGCTGTGTTGTCCTGTCCTTCCATGGAGGATGTCTCACTGGGGCTGCAAAAGCATTGGTCCTATTTAAAACTGGGTTGATTCTGTATGATCTAGGACAGATCTGGGAGAAAGATGGGCTTGGAAGAAAGGAGAGGGACATAGTGCATCACCCTAACAGTCACGGTGCTGGGAAAGGGTGGCTACCTCCTTCCCTTCCACCTCCAGGGATGCTCAGAGGTGTCAGGATTTAGGACTTGGTCTGGCAGGATAAGGTCTGGTCCGCCGAGCCACAGTGATCCATATGATGGTCCATAAGGAAGCACTGCGTAACCATGGCATCTGTAGGGGTGTCTGCCCATCTCAGTCCCTTAGCTTTGGCTGCTGGAAGTGCTCCTCTGCTGCTTCCCTACAGCAGCTGGTGGCTAGTGGGGATGGGGAACATGGGTTGGTGCCTGTGCTTTATTCTCCCAGGGTGGACTTGCTGCTCAACAGAGGACTTAGCACAGCTCCTGCTTTCCACAGTCAGGATTGAGAAGTGGAAGGGAAGCAGTGTAGAGCGCTGGGTACCGCAGAGCTGGGAGTAAGGATGCTTGGGGGCTGCTTCTGCCTCTGCCACTGGACAGCCTTGATCATGTCACTTCACTGCCGTTCGCCTGTCAGAGGGCTGTGCAAGCTGCCCGGGGTCTTTCAGGGAGAGCTGGAGCCTGGGAGGCTGCGGTGGGGTGTGAGGGGTGGTGGTGGGGCTCCAGCCATTGCTTTCTTGACAGGAGGACAAGCACCAGGGTCCCGCTTCCCGTTGCAAGGCGGGTTCTCCCCGACAACGGCAAGCGGTGGAGTTGGTGGACCCCTGGGGGGTGCCGACGGAGCGGCGGGCTGGGATGTTGGGGATGGGACCCCTGCATGGCCATGGCGGTGGCGGGGTCAGCAATGGCGGTATCGGCAAAGGCGGTGTCAGTGATGTCGATGTCGGCGATGTAGATGTCGGCAATGGCAGTGTCGGCCCTGTCTCCTCGGGAGGGAGGCGCTCCCGGCCATGCAGCCGCCATTGGCGCTGGCTGCTCCGTGGTTTCCTGCCGAAATCACATGGCTCCCGCGTTTCCATGGAGAGAGCCGGGGTGGGCGCTGCCAAGAGCCTGCACGAGCTCCCCGCTTGCTCCCGTCCATGGGAGTGGAACAAAGGGGATGCACCGAGCCAGGACCGCTCTCGCCCCGCGCCTCGTCCCCCGCCTCTCCTGGAACATGTGAGTGACAGCGGCACCTCCGCGCCGCCGGGGGGACACCGGTCACAGTGGGGTCAGTGGGGAGCGAGGCTGGTTATCGGGGTTACACCCTGGGGCGGGGGGACCAGGTCGCAGCTGCCACCGCCGCCGCCTGCCACCAGCCCCGGGTGGGCACCCACAGCTCGGTGACAGCGGGAGAGTGGGGACGGGGACGTGGCCGAGGGGCTCCCCTGCTCCGACCCGTCGCCCTGCGGCTCCAAGGGCAGCTCCGCACCCTGCTGCAGGGCCCGGATGCACCCGGAGAAGGAACCGGGATATCGAGGCGAGCATCCCCCACCCAATGTCACACAATCCCACGCCCAGTGTCGCCCCGCGTCTCGCCTAGCCCCTGTCCGGGGCTCACTGCTCTGCTCATGGGTTTGGGATGGGGCCGGTTGTTTGCAGAGGAGCCGTGCCCTGCCCTCCTCGTATCCCTCCGGAATGCTGGGCAAGGGGAAGCTGCCCGTGTCCATGTAGGGCCGTGCCCGAGCGTCTGCCCGACGCCAGAGCCAAAAGTCGCAGGGGAGAGGCTGCATCCATCTCCCCGCCATCGCCCCTGCGGGGTGACAGGACCCCAGGGTGGGGGGTCTCCTGAGGGACCTGGGTGCTCGGTGTCAGCTGCCTGCTGCCTCCTCCTCCTGGGTGACAGAGGGAGGAATGCTCAGAGGAATTAATGAGACAGATCTTGCTTTGTTGCTGGCCGGATCCTTCTATCTCCCAGCCCTCCTCAGCCTGCCAAGAAGTGCTTGGGAAGGCCTCACACCATTAACTCCTTCCCTGCTGCACCTCCAGCCATCCCAGGGCTTGCAAACAGCCTCAGTGGGTTTTAGCTTTGCCGGATTTCCAAAGGAGACTACAGGGGCCACTGGGAAGACTTGACCTTCCTGTAAACCCTGTGTTAGCCAAGGACTTAGCTCCTGGCTGGTGGCTGAGGAGCAGCCTTGCTGTGTCCCCAAGCAGGGCTGGGGTGTCATGCTATGACGCCACGCAAAACAAGGCACCGCAGGGCTGGGCGTCAGCAGCGTTGCCTGTTATCGGTGGGTGGAGGTCCCCAGTGCGTCACCACAGCCCCCCCAGAGCTGTGGTGGGAACTGGTGTGGTAGCAACTGAGCCCCCAAGGAGGACACAAGATGATGGGGCTAAAGTGGGAATGTGGCAGCCATGGGCAGGGCAGGGACAGGGGTGCTGGGATGGGCAACAATGATGTGGGTGTTAGGCTGCAGTCGGGGGGATAACTGTTAATCTGCAGCAGGGACAGTGGTCAGGGTGGGGGCATCTGTTCCCAAACCCTGCCTGAGACTCCTGGCCAGCACTCAGGAGCTTTGTAGTCTGTGTTGCTGTGGGGTGCCTGGGTCAAGCACCGTCCAGTGCCTGCTGCTACCCCAAGAAGAGCTGAGCAGTGGCACAGGGACGTCTCACAGGGATGCCACCACGCTGAGCTCCAGCCTGCACAAGGGGCCATGGCTCAGTGGGCACTGGAGCTCCTGCCATGGCTCTGACTTAGAGGACAGGACCTGGCAGACCCATCGTGTGAAGGGAGCTGGCGTTTGGGGTCCCCAGGGAACAGCGCAGGCAGCTCAAGGCCTGGCTCAGCATGGGTTGAGGCTACTGCCAGGCTGGGACGAGCTCACTGCCTCGTGCTTGGGTTTATTTATAGGGCTGCCATTTATATTGCTTCTATTTCTGCTGCCATGTGGGGATGCTATGAAGGGGGAGGGCTGGAGGCTGCTGTGGCCCTGGTGCCTGGATGGCAAGGGATGCTGCCGGCTGCCGTGGTGCCAGCCCCACTGGGATTGAGCCTGACTTGGCACAAGGGCTGGTCCTTCTCCAGCCCTCGGGGCATCAACCCTGTGGACAGAACTCCACACAGGATCTGTGGCATTGGGCTGCCAGGAGGTTTTGGAGCTGCTTTGCTGCTTTCTGCAAAAAAAGTCAGAGGTCAGCTGCAGCCCTGTGGTGCAGGATGAACAACTGCAGCTCTAGGACCTGGCTTTCCCAGACCATGAATGGCTCTTGCCTGGCCCCAAGTCACTTGGTCATTCATAGTGGTTCTACTTCAAGCCACGGCGGTGGGTCTTTTTCGGGGGAGACATTATAGCAGGGCCTGTTGTGACAGGACAAGGGCTGAGGGTTTTAAACTGAAAGAGGGAGATTCAGGCTGGAGGTGGGGAAGAAATTTTGTACATTAGGGGTGGTAAAACACTGGCCCAGCTTGCCCAGAGAGGTGGTGGATGCCTCATCCCTGGAGACATCCCAGGCCAGGCTAAATGTGGCTCTGGGCAACCTGGTCTAGCAGAAGGTGTCCCTGCCTGTGGCAGGGGTTGGAACTGGATGAGCTTTAAGGTCCCTTCCTACCCAAATCAGTCTGGGATTCTGTCCTCTTGACAGAATTGTCACCTTGTGCCCTCTCCTAGGTCTCTGCCTTGGCCAGGAGCAATTTGGCTCCTCACCAGCCTGGTGCCCATGTGCTGGCACTCACCTCCCCACCTGCTTTTGGCCATCAGTGACTTCTGCCCACCGTGCACCCGCTGAGGCTGCCTGTGCCCCGCCATGCCACATTCCCAGCTGCAGTGATGCTACCAGTCACACACGCATGTGCGTGTTGTGCTTGTCCATGAACAGCCTGAATTAGCATCCACATCATCTTGGTCTCTGGTGCTGGTGCCAGCAGGGGAGTGTACTCCTGGGGCTGGTGGTGGCTTCTTCCTGGGGTGGGTGGACACAGCCTTGGTGCTGGTAGTCCTGGGGCCACCAGGAAGGTGTTGGGGAACCTCCCCAGGAGTCAGTGCTGGCAGGATGTGGGGTCTCAGGGACACGAGTCCTGAGCCCCAGAGAGGGCAGGGAAGTGGGAATGTCCTTCTGGGGTGCCTGGATTTTCCTTCTGCATGGCTGGAACATGCATATCCAAGCACGGCTGCCCATGGAGGTTTTTGTTTGCATGTTCAGCTGTCACAGTTAGGATGCTTGGGGCAGTTCCCCAGGCCTGGTGAGAGGAGGGGCACGACATGGAGGACACCATAAAAAACATGTGCTTGGGGTGTTATACCCACATCTCTGCTGCATGGGACAGGTGGGGGCAGGCACCAGAGGTGGTGGATTATCCAGAGAAGTCCCCTCAGTTGGGAGAGTGACTGGCACCCAGTTGTCCCCTTCCCTTCATCCATTCTCTGTCTCCACCCAGGCCATGGATATTCATTTAACTTTATTACTGCCCAGGACCTGGCAGTGCTGCCACACCTCGTGCCCTTCCTCTGTCCTCCCTTGGCAGGGTGTCCCAGCTGAGGGCCCTGCAGGGGGCTGCTGGGTGCTAAATGCCCATGTCCTCCTCCAGCACTCTCTGCACCTTTTGAATACACAACCCTGACCTCCTGCCTGTTCCTGGTGGTCTCCCCATGGGTGATGGCCAGGGTCGTGCTGTCCCATGCAACTTGAATCCACTGCCTGCACTGGGGCTGCAGGCAGGGCTATGGAGAGGCAGAGTCCCCGTTAGCTGCTTCCCCACTGGTAGGGAAGCCTGGACATCCCTTCATGGCACTGAGGAACAGCTCTGCCACGGCTCTGGCAGCTTTAGCAGAGCTTTCTCGTTAACCTTTAATGAGAACAAATGAGCTGGCATGGGCCGGTGCTGCAGCAGAGGCTTTGCAGAAGGCTGGTCAGTGCCAGGATTACTGTTTTTCCCTAGGAGAAGCAGCAAGAGGTGGAAAACTGGGCGGTGGTTCCCTGCCCATGGCAGCCACTGGGTTGGGACTCTTCCCATCAGTGGGGAGAGGCAGGGGCATGCATCCTGACCAGGCAAGGGAGGAGACACAGTCTTCATGTAAGTTCTTGAAGGCTGGGGTGGAGATGGGTCCCCCTCACAACATGCTTTGCAGTGTGCTGGGCTTCTGGCTCCCCTCCATGACACACAGGCCAGCTTGGGCAGGGCTTGGAGCAACTTGGTCTAGTGGAAGGAGTCCCCACCCGTGGCAGGGGGTTTAGGACTTTGTGGTCCCTTCCACCCCAAACTGGTCTGTGATTCTATGACATTGGCATGGAGGCTGCAGGCAGGTGGGTGACAAGATGCCGCCCTTTGCCAGTGCTGATATGTTTTTTTCCTTGGATGCAGCTCACCAGCTCTTCCCCAGTGCTCTCCCAATGAGGCTGGTGGTGTGCAGCCATGTGATCACCCACTCAGGCACCCACCCAGGCACCAGGAGAGAGGGTGTCCTGGGAACAGCACTCTTTGGTGGCAAGCCTGACTGTGGCTGGCTATGCATGGGTGCCCATGGCAGGGGAGCCATGTCACCCTACAAGGGACCCCAGGCAGGCACCAACTCCTCCCCTGCAGTGTGCTGGGCCCATACTTCACAGGGACCAGTGAGGAGTGAACCAGCTCTGGGCTGGGGGAGCAGCGGCATGGCTGTCTCACCCTCTAGGCAGGGGAATAACTGTGTCTGGGAGCACCCCATCTCTGTGAGCACCCCCAAGCCTCTGCCGAAGTGCTTTTCCTCTTGAACCTGGCCTGACCTCACTCTAAAAGCAGCAGCAAACAGGAAAGGAGCATGGAGGGAGGTGGCTCTTCCTGCTCCAGTGACGTGGTGACGGCAGCTGGTCCCAGCCTGCATGGAGTTGGCTGCTCCAGCCTCCTGCATCTGAGCTGGAGGGGGTGACAGGCCTGGGTACCCCAGGACTGGGACCTGTACGGGGACCAATAGTGTTGGAGGGCGGTGACATCTGTGCCACAAAGTCCCCTGGTTGCTTAGGGCATCCCTGTGCCCTAAACAGAGAGCTGTGGGGCTGGGAGGGGCTGATGGGTTGGCATGGAGGGCAGGTGGCTTTGCCATGCTGCCTCATGTGAGCTGCATCCCCTGGGTCATGTAACACCCTTGGTTCCATGTGGGAATGGCACTCAGCATTTTGAAATGCCCTGCGAGAAAGTCCTGGCTGAAGCCAGCCCCTCCAAGGCTTTGGAGACCCTGATGACACAATCTGGGGACATCTGA